TTAAAGATTGAGAGTGATTTTTTGAGGTTACTAGTAAAAAAAACCTGGCAGTCAGAAAACAGTCTTTGTCAGAACTGTGGCAGTGAAAGGGTTAAACCACTCCGTTCCAGCGCGGATAATTCCTTGGAGGAAAGGTTCATGACCCATTTATCTTTCAGAGATGAGCCTGAATTAACAGGAGACCTCTTACTGAGCAAGTGACGGAGTTTTCTGTCATGTTTCTCTCTCTGTTTGGTAAACGTCTGCACTCCTGGGTCGAGGAGTTTTGCAATTCGAAAGAACTGCAGACGTTTACCAAACAGAGAGAGAAACGGCGGTATCCGGAAATGAAGCGGAGCGCCTTAGCTGTAAATGAACCATGGGAATTACCAAAAAGGTTGGGTTTGTGCTTTTGTTGCCTCCAAAGGACATCGAATTGAACGTTGCTTGCTAGAAAGGAACATGTCCAGTCAAAGGGTGTGTGTGAAGACACCACCCACAAATTCATGCAGTCTAACGCTGGCACAGTTAAATCCAGTGGCTGAAGCATTCCATCCCTTGCAAGCAGCTGCAGGAGACACATCAGCAACCGGTACACAAACTAATCATACAACCTGCTGAGTGACTGAAGAAAGTGTACTATGCCCTAGGAGAGTAGTAGAAAAACGGAATTAAGATCAGAGCAAACGCCTCTCTTGATGGTGGTTTTGGATTGTCCTACCTTAAGGAGGAGATCGCTGATATATTGGGTTGGATGCTGAGTGTAAACCACTATGTGTTGCTGTTTTCAGAACAAAGTCAATTCTGACAGATAGCAAAACTGTAGCTGTGCGCCTAGAAAGTATAGACTCCCAGACACCTCTATCCATACTATGGTGGATGCATCGTTGTTGGCCTATGCAGCTGTAACTTATGTGCGTTAAGAAGTCAGAACACAAAGCCACTTGAAACTTCTTACCCCTGTTGTGGATGAGCATGGTATATTGCGAGTCGGGAGGGCAATTGGACCGAGCAGAACTATCTTATGATACAGCACACCCCATGATCTTGCCAAAGAAAATTCACATCACCCAATTAATTGTTGCAGACATCCATAACCATTGCCAACATGCAGGTGTCAACCACGTGCTAGCTCAGGTACAAAACCAATACTGGGTCATAGATGGTCGGCAGGAGGTGGAGGTGCACTTACCTCAGCAACAGTGACACCTGCTGTTGCACCATCAATATCTTCAGCTGGTCCTTTGCCATTAGGAAGTGATGCTAGAGGTAAATATTATTCTATTTTGACAATTTTCACAAAATGCGAAAGAGGAAAGAGCCATTTACTTTACATTTTAAATCACTTTAAGCCAAGTTGGTTAGTTAGTCATATATTGCCTGTCACTCAAGCAAGGGATAACCCATCTCTGAAAAGGCTGAGGAGGCGAACTTAAGTTCTGAAAATTGGATGACAAAGCAAAATTGGGCACATATTGCCAGAGATCACATGTACCCTATGGAAAGGAATAAAAGTGTTTCTTTACAGCAAAGACCTCAGAGAAATTAGAGAACTCTGCAGGATGACTCTGTTATATCCACATTCAGAGAAAATAGATGAAAATTATCCAAATGGACTGGTGTTAAAAAGAAGCTTCGAGGACGCTGTTGGTGAGCATGGTCTTACCGGAAGTCAGTGTTACGTTGTAACAGTTATTTATGACCATATAGAAAATGAGGTGGTAACTGCATTTCCATCTTTCTAATGAATTTTTACAAGACTAAGATACAGTAGAACCTTCATCAAACGAAGTACCGAGAAATTGAGGAAGATCCTTTGTTCTTTTCTTTCTTTTTTTCCTGTAGTGTGACGTTACGCTACAAAGCATTTTGGGATTGGAACGATTACTGTAAATACCATTTATGCTTTAATGTCTATAAAAATACTTACATTTTATAAAACTGTCAATTTTTTCAACTCCGGTTATTCTGTCATTTGTCCCTCTCCGTCTCGTTTTAGTAAATCCGTCTACTCTGTCAATTTTGTTGACTCTGTATTCTCTGTCGATTTTGTTAACTCTGTGAACTCTATCGATTTTGTTACCTGTCTTCACTGTTGATTTTGTTTACTCTGTCTACTCTGTCGATTTTGTTAACTCTGTCTTCTCTGCCGATTCTCTCACCTGCAGTGTATCTGATTTCTAAACCTTAAGTTATGTTTAAAACAAAAAATTATCTTCTGAGACCATCTGATGTCAGATTACAAGAGCCTGTCATTCATAATATTTCCTCCTTGAGTAGCAAGTAACCTGAGTTGTTAATTGTTGACCAAACTTTCTAAACTTCCTCTCTTGATCCAGGAAGGACAAGCAGATAAAACATCAATAATAAAACATCAATAATAAAACACAAGCACAACACAATGAATTTTTTGGTGGTCTTTTCCCAACCCTCCCATCCTTTTTACTTAAATATGAGTATTTCGTAAAAAATTATTAAGACTGATACAACAGACTTGCAACTGCATATACTGTATTGACAACTACTTTAGCTATTACAGTTAGGTGCCACACCATTTTATGATAGGCTAAGATGAAAAAAGTAAGTTTCAATTTACCATTTAGACATTTGTATTGTATTTTATTTTCATTATTTCATGTTATTTTATTTTTATGGCCCCTTGTTGAAAACCCTGTTGTGAAATGGGCCATCTGTTTAAACAATTATAAAATTTGTATTTTTATTATTAGTAGTGTTATGATTATTAAATGCATTATGCTGTTGTCCATGTTAGTGTATACAGGACAGTGTGTGAGTCTCAGCCACGAAAGTAATTCCCAACATCTGCAAATAGAGTGTGCTAGATCTCATAACCAACTGCCTGGTATGAAAAGTGGACAAATACCTTTTTTTTTTTACATTGTGCATTGTGTAGCATTTATTTAGAAGTACAAAGGTACTTAATAGTTGTATTACAGTTTTAGCAATTAGACTGGTGCATTACTTTAATCATTTCATCTGTACATGAATAGTTACAGAAAGTTACATGCATATATTGCGCCGGTAAACAACGTCACACCAATTGCTCAAAAGTAAAATCAACAAAAGAGAGAAAGACCATATTGGCGCCGAAAAATAAATGCCTTAACTGCCTCCGATCAGGCCACACAAGGTATCAATGTCACTCAAAAGGAAGATGTCTAAATTGCGGGCTAAAACACCATACGTCGATCTGTGAACCAAGCGAGCCTAATCGAGATTCAAGCAAGAGAAACGAAAAACAAGAAGACCCACAAAACAGCAAAAACGTCACGTCCGCAATGACAACCTTAACAAGTACAATGACGCATACAAATACAATAATGCAAACTGCACTGGTCACCGCAAGCGGACCAGCTACGAGTTGCCAAGCACGCATCCTTATCGATACCGTATATCGCAAAGGACATTCATTACGCAATACCTCAAGAATAAGCTACATTTGAAAGCCGTTCAGAACGAGATACTAGACGTAGCCACATTAGGGACCTTACAATCCGACAACGGCGACGGCGACGTGGGACTTTTTTACTTCCAGTTACGTACTGTGCATGAGTAGATTTCTGAGACGGCGGTGTCTCTTCACGCGCGGACGTCTAGAAGCCTTGTTTGACGTTGTGCGAAAACGTGGAATTTAAACCCAACTATGGCAAAGGAATCAAGGTAAAAACGAGACTTTGCGACTAAATTTAAAGAATACTAATTTGTTTGAAATATCCGAAATGAACAGAGCGTGGAGTCTTTTGTATACAACCACAAACTGAATGGAGAGAGATTTGACTTATTTTGCTTTGTATTTGTTTGTGATTGTACTTCACTCGCCATCACTGAACTTTCTTATCACTTACTTTCCAACTTTTTTCTCGATCAAAAAAAGAGAACAATTAAGCTTAATTTTATTTTGGGTTTACTAGTAAATCTCAGATACAATGATAATTTTAATGTTAGCAAATTTTGCTGATATACTGATAGTTCTTCCTCATGAAGTAATTTTTGTTGCACTGCACTTTCAGTCAATCAATGAAATGGACTGAAGAACACGAATTGCTTATGTTGAGGGAATTGATGCTTTTGCAACCACGGCTGCACAAGAAAGGAACTAGTGAGAGAGGAGATGATTGGGAAAAGCTGGCAGTATCCTTAAATGCTATTCCTTATCCCCAATTCCGTGTTACTCAACGGTCTGTTCGTGATCACTATTCAACAATGGAAAAGAGAAGAAGGAAAAAAGTCAGGGAAGAAGACAGAGCCTCAGGTATTGCCCCTGAAGAGGACAAGGAACTAGCTCAACTGTTAGATGAAACCATTGAACTCTTTGATGAGTCTGACAAAATCACAGATCAAACAAAACAAAAGCAGGAAGAAGAAGCAAAGAAAGCAGAGGAAATGCGGAAGAGATCATTGGAAACTTTTAAAGATAGCGCCGAAAGGAATGCCGATGAACAGCAAGGAGCAAGACCGAAAAAGGGTAGAGCTAGTGGTGCAAGCACTCTGGCTTACCTGAAGGATAGGGCAGAAGTAGAAGCTACTTTAAAACGTGATGAATTGAAGATAAAAAGGCAAGAGTTAGCACTGCAAGCAAAGGAGCAGGAAGGAAGACAACAGCAATTTGATATGATGAACAAGCAAACTAGAGATATTCAGCAGCTTCAGCAGCAGCAAATGCAGCAGTTTATGCAAATGAATGCAAACATGATGCAACAGCACCAACAACAAACCCTTGCACTTATGGAACTATTGGGCCTAGTTCAAATGTCAATCTTTACATGTACCGAACCTAATTGCAATTTGGGTCGACTCGAATAATTAAGAGCGGCAGTTCATTCAAACGTCGATCCGAATTTAGTCGATCCTAATTGCAAAACTGAACATAACTCCATTGTAGTCAGCGGTTAATGCCTACCAAAATGGCGGAAAAAAATGCGGGAAGCACAACTTGCGGAAATGAAGAGCTTGTTTTTCTTGCAAATGCGATTAAGGAGGGTAGAAAAAGGCGACTCAAGATGCAGTTAGCATTAAACAACCTTGCTGCCAGGAGAAGACGAGTTTTAAATTTGGCTTGCCTTCTTTTATTGCTTATTTCCCAAAGGAACATCACAGTTCCTCGTCCAGTTCGTTTGTGTCGTCGACTGAAAAGAAATTCTGGCTGGTGGGAAAATGTTTGCAACAACTATTCAGACGCAAGGTTCAAGAAAACCTTCAGAGTATCCCGAGGAACATTTAATCTCATCCTACAGCGTATTGAACCCTTCCTTATTCGGCAAACTGTGACGGAAGAACCGATACCACCAGTGCTGAGGCTTGCTATTTGTCTGTATAGACTAGGCAGAGGAGATTATTTCTATACCATCGCCGAAATGTCTGGACTAGGCGTCTCCACAGTTTCCTCAATCTGTCAGGAAGTATGTCAAGTCTTGGTGGACCATTTATGGAACGAGAATGTGTCAAATCACATGCCCCAAACTGAAGAAGAGTTTAAACAAAAAATTCTCGACATGGAAGAACTCTGGCAATTTCCATGCTGTTGGTCAGCTTTGGATGGTTGCCATATTCCAATCAAATGCCCGCCAGGAGGCCTTCAGTCATGCAAAGAGTATCATAACTTTAAAATTTTCTATTCCATTGTACTGATGGCAATGGTAGATTCGCATTACCGATTTGTGTGGGGCAGCTGCGGGTTTCCAGGAAATTCTCATGACGCAGTTATTTTTAGATCCACTGACATTTGGACCCGTATAGAAGAAGGCCTCATTCCAGTAATTGGAAAAACTGTACATGGTTAATGAAACCGTACACTAATGCATCTCTAGCCCCCAGGCAACGCTACTTTAATTGCTGCTTAAGCAGATCTCGCATGGTTACAGAGGGTGCTTATGGGCAGCTCAAGGGTAGGTGGAGGGTCTTACTCCGAAAGGGTGAAAGCAGTCAAGACAATGTCCGCATTACAACATTGGCATGCATGGTTCTTCACAATATCTGCATTGCACGAGGAGATGCAATTATAAAAAAGCTTGATTTGAGTTTGGATGCAAATGGCCAAAAGAGAAATCGAGAGGAAATAAGAAAACTGTCGCAGATGAGAAATTGTTCAAGAATCAGATATGTGTCAGTGGAGGCAAATAAAGTAAGGAATGTGTTATATGAAAAACTATGGCTTGAGAAGGAAATTGGCAAAGTCTGTTAATTCAATACTGATACATTTACTATTTTCACCAAATTATTT